ACATTTATGCAAGCACCTCGCATTAACTTTACCATTGGGCGGAGGGTGGGGGGGGGGGGACAATTACGAACCTACCATTATCCTAATTTACAGCTCTTTATAAAAAACACGTTGAAAATGTTCATTGAGACGGACAGCAAGGCATCATGTTGACCGAAGAGAGGTGACTGGATCACTCCCGTACTAAATTATATATTTTCTAGGAAAGTAAAATGCTGCAGTCGCGAATGGCTCTTCTGCAGAATGCGGCGCAACTCCCAGAATGCCTCTCATTGCTCTCGGGGCCTAAATTCGACAATAAATTATCTTCATTATCCTCATCAACTCTACCGCGTGTGGGCTTTTTATGCTGCAATTTTAACCCCTTCCAGTCATTATCATTGCGGATTTCTTTCATGAAATAGCAAGTTTAAGTAATTCACGATCACAGTTATGTGTTCTGCCAATATGGGTTTGGAAAGCGTTTTAACTCAAGCAGTTGATGCTCAATATTTCTTGATTACAACAGATTAATTAAATATTACTGAAGGTGTGACTTACATTTTTAGCAAGGTGACATTTTACGTGATTCGTTTAAGCATTCCTTTAAATTAATAACAAATAATGTATGTAATAAAAATTCCATAATAATATAATTAAGTGTACATTCCTTATTGTAATATAAGCATCAGCTATGCGCATCAATAAGATGTTTGTGTTGTTGTATGCAGAGCTTTTATAATGGCAATGTTAAAATATGTAACATGATGTTATTCTTTCACTGGAATAATTTCCCATGGTGTATTTCTTCCATAGCCTTTTAAAAACATATATCGCGGTGATAATAAAGTTGCAGGCCATCATGTTCTTGCATCAAGGAATGTTCATGCGAACCACGAGAAAGTTCTATTGTAGCTTGTAACTGTAGAAAGCACTGGTAATCAAGCTATTTAAGTGTCGTTAAACCCACCACCACCCGACACAGCCAATTAGTAAGGTTTGTCACGTAAACAGAACGTGCCAATTCGTTGCTAGTACAGCACACCGGTGTGTTTGAGAGCAAAGCCACAACATTTACACCGATGTGTTGTACTAGGAACGAATTGGCATGTTTATTTTACGTGACAAACCTTACTAACTTGGTTGTCGGGTGGTGGCGGGTTTAACGACACTTTTATATATTTACGCGATCTAACCCAAAAAAAACCCACCTGTATTATGGATGATATTGGTCGCGAAAGCCTACGTGTTAAACCAAGCTATTTAAACATACATTTTCCTCTAGACCACCCATGGTGAGGCACGGTCAAACAAACCCCCGATGCACATGAAGTCTCAACCAAAATCCCCAGCAGCTCTGGTTCCACCAGCGATGGTGTCTGCTGTTTTGGCGAAGGAGCATGGGGAGATAGAATCGTTGGTACATACTGGACGATTATTATTTTATTTTATTACTGCTCCGTAAATCATGTGGACTTTTGGGGAATAAAGCGTTTTCATACTGGAAATAGATTTTAGAGGAACCGTTTTGGTAAATTGTTAGACTCAGTAAGGTGATGAGACACATACAAACTCCATGCAACAGCCATACTCAATGCACTGCTGGATGAACGCCTCCCCATGCCATCGCAATCCCACACAATGCCACAATCCATTTCACTCCTGAATGCCAGCTGATATCACGATTCCATCCGCGTGCGTATGTTCCTTCATTTAGCTGCCATTTTCTCGCCAGTCTTATCCATCGGGCATCATCCCTTGCAATGCGTGGCGCCTAAACCCACCTATGCTGTCCTCAACATTCAATTTGACGTCTCTAATCCGTGCTCGATTCCTGATCAATGTGGAAGATAGCATATGCCATCGAGAGATTGTGAGAGATGGCAAATTGGCATGCAGGGACCTTCGTCCAGCAGTGGATACGTCATGGCTGTTGACGATCATTATTTGAATACGATAAATCCAAGACGCTTCCCAAAATTGGGGTTTTGATTAACCTTTGCCTGCAAATCGAAGTAGCAACGTGAAAATTGTGGGTAAATTACAATGTTACACGCTTGCGTCACAACAGCCAACGGTCTTCATTGTGTGTAGCTTACAGCCGGAATGAACATGTTAATTGGCGCTAGCGCAATACCAATGACAGCTCAGCGTATTTTAAGCAAGTCAAATGAAGGACGAAAGTTAATGTATGTTTGAAGTGTTGAGAGCAGATGGAATGAGCTATCTGACATGTGGCTAAATTGCATAGGTTGAAGGTATGCAAGATCGAATGCGTGTTTTAAAGAAATCTCAGTCTTGCTCGTTTATCCATCAACCCTAAATCATTACCATGATCATTTCCATGATTTAAGGTTGCGATTCAATTAACCAAATTCGATACGTGTTTGACATTGCGGCGGATGTAGCGGCCGCAATTGGCTGCAGTGGTCACATATATCAATTACATATAACATATACAAATATATACATGGAAATAAAAAAACACATTGAATACACATACAATTCAAGTCAGGTATTATGTCCATACCAACATTAAAAAAATAATTAGTGAGTTGTTAGACTTCTGGTCCCAATATTGGTGTACGGTCCTTTCACAATCCCTTGCAGAATAAAGGCCTCCCCCACACGTATCTTCAGTTATGGGCGTTGTTTGACCATATTTCACCAATTCTAGATTTGAAGCTTTCGTGACTGCAAGGATCCATACTCTTTGGTTCTATTCGGTAAAGTCACATAGTTATTTTATTTTTACCTACGTGACTTTACCGAATAGAACCAAAGAGCATATTTTACCAATTACTGGTCAGTGCGGGTTGGTGAAGAGCGTGCCTAAGACCGGTTCAGATATCACTCGCTACTGGTGTTCGCCTGGTGCAATGCGCTAACCACTGCACCGCTGCTCCAGCCCTTTGTATATTGGCAAATCTACAATATCATCCGCAAGTCAAGAGTACTGTAGGTTTAAAATATATAATTATATTGATCATCATTTTATCATGATTCTTTTCAGACATTTGTCATGTCGGGCATGGGGGTTGTTTTCCCATATTTCACCAGGCTGGTCAGTGTTGGTTGGTGTCGATGGGGGGGAAAGGACGAGTTGAGATATCACTTTTCACTTGTGTTAGCCATGACTCGGTATTGAACTCAGGTCATCACGTTCCTAATATAGTGCACTAAACAGAGTGCCACTCTACCCCACTTTACATGCTTAGAGTACTTTAAAAGTAAAAGTACATTTTCATATGTTTCCAATTAAAAGTACGTAAGCCACATTTTCCATATTGATGTATTGTGATGTGGCGTTAAGATGTTAATCAATCACGGGAAAGTAAGTTTGACAACAGAGGCATTTTTCTATGACATGTAAAAAGACAAATTGTTGTTAAAAGGTCCCACGAGATAAAATTGATTTACCAGCAATCCAAATGCACTCTGCACAGTCCTAAGTAATACATGCGTTGTCAAGCTAACCACATTACCATATAGATTTTATTTGTTTTAGTTTTTTTCTAGTTCATGGATGCATTTGCTCGTAGTTAAGGCCATGCGAGGGGTAGCTCCGCTTTGTATTCAGGAGCTAATTCAATCTCATGCACAGGCGAGGTCTTTTAAGATCTGTCGATCGTGCCCCTTTTATATGATACCTCCATCGTGGTTGTGTTCTTGCAGTGATCGGGCGTTTACCGTTGTACCCTACCACCATGCATTGTGGAATTCCCTAACGGTGGTGACCAGCCTCGCGGATAGTGTTTAAATCTTTATGTCCTCACTAAAAACACATATCTGTTTCAAAATTATTTTCCTCATCAGTCTAGTTCCCCTTTGTTATTCTGACACCTAGTTCTTTCATTCATATCTCTATACTTTTCATGCACGGCGCCTCGAGACTTTTTGCGAAAAGGTGCCTCGTAAGTTCACACTATCATCGTTATTATTTCAGTAATGAAGCAGCTTTTATTGTAACCTAATGCAGCGTTTTAGGGCACTGCACTGCAATGGAATTTTAAGAAATAATATCGCGCAGAACAATGCTTGGTACAACCCTAAATCACATTGCAGAGCCGTACAGCACAGCCGTGGAAATCTCAAGACTTTATTTCAGCTGGCGAGTCCCCCATTGAGCTGAGCGGCACTTTTACAAGGACGACCACAGACCAAGACCATCGGAGGTGGTGGCAGTTACAGGAGATTGCAGGAAGGGAATGTTCCAACCAGCAAGATTTTAAAAAACAAACATTGTCCACACGAAACCCACAGCAGAACTTACCGCATACAGGAAAAGCAATAAATAGTGCTTGAAAAAGATCAAAACCAGCATAACCTAGACCGAAGTCCTCTGCAATTAATATAAAGCCAGTATTTTTTTCTGGAAGGATATTTGATAGTTAAAACTGTTATAAAAACTCTTATGCTAAATGAATTTGTGAAAATTAAGTATCGTTGGCTATTTTGAATGACAGATTTGATTTAACATTGTTGGCGTCAGCGCAGCACTTGCGCAGGACACATGGCTTACACACAAGGGTTAATACGAGTCCCTTGACGTGTATAGTTTATTGCAGAATATTCCCTTTACAGTACATTGCCGTATGCATTACATAATTACATATACACATTTTTTCATAATAATAATAATAATCCACAGTCCATAATAAATCCACCGCTGGATGAAGGCCTGCCTTACACTGAGTCGGTCGTGGCAGTTGATTTACCGTACGTCACCACACTAGTCAATGTGGATCGGTGAAGTGGAAGTGTCCAGGATCAATCCAGATATCAATCGCCACTGATGTCAGCCACGGCCGGGTATCGACTTCAGGTTCGCTGGGTTTGCGTAGTGCAGCACACGCGCCCACCTATACCCCCTCCCCGAACATATTTTTACAAACCCTCAAACGGTAGCATTCTATAAATATTTTTCAACGTCGTATTCTGCAAACAGTGGTTTTGCCGATCGGAAAGCTGTGCAAAAAAAAAAAATGTAACGTTTCGTTTGCCTCTTGTGCGCGCTGCAGTTTGAAAACGAGCTGATCACAAAGCTCGACCACGAGGTTGAGGGAGGGCGCGGAGATGAGCAGTACAAAGTCCTCTTCGAACGGATGTGAGTACTCCTCTGCCTGCGACGTGGCGTCACTCCACGTCGGGGTGATGCAGCAGACACGAGAAGATAATGCAAGAAGCCCCCCCCCCCACCCCACGCCCCCCCCCCCCCCCCCCCCGATTTGAAGTTCTGTGCATTTAGGCTTTGAGGGACTGCATTGGTGGTATTGACAGATCGTAAAAGCCTCAAACGATTTGCCCCCCCCCCCCCCCCCCCACCCCTGGCATTTCAAAGGTGACGGCAAAAGCTAAAGGTGCAGCCCTGCTATTGCTTGCCACTGCTGGCGGAAGGGGTCTCTTCGAGAGGAAGATCTAGAGATCTTTCCGGAGCATATTTTGGCCAACTCTTTTATGTCGGCATTCAATAAATTGTGTCAATTCAGAGTTGCCATTCGATAACAAAAAATATGTCAATAATTATGTTTTCTATTGTGGCGACTTTAGTGGCCTCTCGTGGTAGTGGGGATTACATATAATGTATACACATTATACTTTATTATTTCGTGTGAAAATTCAATGAATGTATTTAGGGTGTAAAAATCTATTTTCATAATTCATTTGTTACGCAGCTGGTTATATCAAATCGTGCCTCACAGATCTAAATTCCTATTCGAGTCGGAGAATCCTCATTCTGAAACTTTGATCTCCGTTTACCATATTGACATGTAGCCTTTAAATTCACTTATATCTTTACATTTGAATACATGTTTATTGTTATTCAATGAACATGAAGAAAAAATAACTACACATGACATTACATTGATAATATTTTAATACCATTCAGAAAAGATATTATTATTTGAGTTGTACGCCTTTTGGCGTCTTCTGGTCCAACACCAATGGAGACTAGGCTCTAAGAAAAGCTGTCTCGGGTGTGGACCAATCAAATTCAAGAACAGTGCATATTATTATCAGAGTTGTCTTTTTTGTTTGCATTTTGACTGCTTGTGTTGTGGTTATTGCAAACATGATGCCTTGAATAAAGGTGTCAGTTTTTGTGCCAGTTAAAAGGGTAAAACCTATTCCTATATATTATTATTTAACAAGAGCTTCTTTATTTATACATATTGTATATTTGGGTGGAACACTGTGCCATCTGGGATTTTGACTTCCCAATTATTTGTTGCACGTTTCATTTCCAATTATTTAATCTTTTTTTTGTATTGCCGTCAGTCATGTACGGATAATTTGTCTGAACCACCATGCACATGTTTTATTTGCGTACAACATAGCTACAAATAGCATCAGCATCACGTTTACAACGAGCCCGCATTCGCGACGACATCGCTATTTTACACAAGCAGCTGGTCCATGCTTCCTTCCACCGCACTGAACTTGTAGTACGCTTTATTATTTCACTCGCAAGTATTCCGATTTGTGAAATAATTGTATCGAGTTCAAACGTTGACTTTTGTGTGTGGATAATATTCAAGCTTTGTTTTTATAGTCTCTGTATACAGTAATGAATCTCTCTGCAATTCCACCGTTGCCAATGTATACGAAGAGTCATCCGTCTCGGCTCAGTGCTCCGCGGCTTTAATACAAGAACATTAAGCTCTCAAGTCAATAACAATTGAGGCGCGCTGCAAACTCATACTTGATCCGTATTCTTTCCACACGGACCCGCCACTGCAAGCGTCAATGCGTCATGCATAAAAATATTTGTTTTGACTTTGCCACGCACACGCCAGAGCAATACTGTTTTGGCGTGTTCATTGTACGGGTTACTTCGGCTCGCACCACCTGCCCTGCTAACATGTTCGCAGGTCAAATAAACCCCCGGCGTGAATAGTAAGAAAATTCATTGGAGGGTTGAGGGGAGATAGAAACCTAATGATAAAGGGGGGGGGGGGGGCACATGAAATACATAAACCGTCGCTCACAGCTGTTTCTCATAGTGAACTGAATTTCAACGAGGTGCAGTTTAGTATGTCATTACAATTTAATGGCAGCGACTTTCAGTTAACATTCCAATGACTGCGGCGTATTCATTATTTATATACGTATTCATTTCAATTAAATATAGTAATAAATAAATAATTGCTATTAATTTATCCAACGCTATCCCTTTCATTATTGACAAGAGGGAGACGCTGCCTTCGATATCCTCGCTATTATATATATAGCCCTGACCTTGGCTGTCCTGCATTAGCCTCAAACCAGGCTCAGCATGATCAATGGAAGGCCAAGTCAATGCAGACCTATTCAATGCGGGGCGATAAGGCAGGTGAATTAATGTCGGTACCTCATTTCGTTTCTTCCTTGCTTTTGGAGAAACCCTCCACCCTCACACCTCCCAAACCCCCCCCCCGCCCCCACGCACACACACACACACACCAACCCCTATCCCAACCCCTGTGCTGTCCCACAGCCTGTCAGACTGCTGTCGTCGCCACAAGTTCCTGTCGCGGACGGGAGAGGCGTTTGTGTTGTTGGTGTCGCGCCTCTTGGAGAGGCTCCTCGACTACCGCAGCATCACCAGCGAGGAGAACAAGGAGAACAGGGAGAACAGGGAGAATCGAATGAGCTGCACCGTCAACCTCTTGGTAGGCCCCGGTGCGCGGCAGGGCTAGATGAACGGTGTCTCTGCCACGCAAGGGTTTTTCCATGGGCCCGGACAGCCTGAGACCAGCCGCATTCTAAAGCCTCCTCCTCTTCAACTTGATTTGGTGCTTTCGTGGCCTCCTCCTCTTCTCCGTTGCACAGTAATTAAATTCCGCTTGGGCTCTTGGTTTAAATAAACGATTAAACCCTGGAAGTTTTTTTTTTAAGTTAGATTAACCATCTCCCCCCGCCCCCCGTTGTACATTCATAGCGATTTATCAGGACAATTACTCCACACGCCAATTTAATTTGTTTATTTATCAAGCCACTGTTAGCGTTGTGTGGATTATAAGTGGCGCTGGGTTGGGATGATCTATAACGTTAAGTGAGCGCGCGTTTGACGGAGGTCATTCGTTGATGTTTTGAGACGTGACTTTATACAAATTGTACACTTTTCAATCTCTTAACAATTAGTTATTCTTCCCAATGTATTTCTGTGCAATAGCCGAGGATACAAATGATTCAACAAAGTGGCAGAAAAGAGCAGGTTGGAGTGCTTTTGGGAAGCCGAACTTGACAATGAAAAATAGCAAACCAATGTGCCTCAAGAAGAGACTGCTTAATCATTGTGCACAATTTAGTTGTGAAGTTTTGGTGACTGCAGGGATCCATACTCTTTCTTTCGGTAGAGTCACTTAGGTATAATTTTTTTTTCATTAAATCACGACGTTTCGGGCGCAACACAAGCGTCCGTCATCAGGTGGGACAACCACAGCAGGAAACAATTTCTGAAGGGGGCAAAAGGACTGCTGTAACAAGAGGCTATAAAGGTGAAGAGCAGCTAGAAGGGATTAAAGGGCAAGCAACGACAAAACGGCAGCTCTCCACTCCCCCTACCCCTCACCCCCCCTCTCTATCTCTCCTCCCTGGCTTCTCCCTCCCCCCCCCCCTCTCTCTTACCTATATAGCCTCTTGTCACAGCAGCCCTTTTGCCCACTTCAGCAATTGTTTCATGCTGTGGTTGTCCCACCTGATGACGGGCGCTTGTGTTGCGCCCGAAACGTCGTGATTTAATTTATTTTGTTTTATTTTATACCTATGTGACTTTACCGAAAGGACCAAAGAGCATTGTGTACAAACTTGCTATGTCACGTGGTGCAGAAACATTACAAGTAAAAATACATAATTAAAACTGAATACTGCACAAAGAAGTGTGGCGAGATACATGCTTGCTATTACAGTCAAAGGCAGAAAGAGGAACACATGAATTCGAGAACATACACAGGTTAAATACATCATTCATGTTTGTTGTTGTTGAAAAGTTAGTTGGCTTGGGCAGGGCACATAGCTGGAAGGGATGATGGCCGAGAGTCAATAATAATGATCGAGTGGCAGCCAAGGAATGAAACGCGTCCGAGATTTCTCATCCACAGAGGAGTTGGAGCAATGAATACAGTTCGTGTGCAGGCGTGAGGTGGATGATTACATTGCAGCATTATGAGAGAAGGTGGTGGCTTTGGGAGGCCTTCATCTAGCTGCGGATTTACCATGGCCGATGGTGATGAACGCCGGTTACAGACAATTTTTCTCAGCAAAATGCGTTCCTGCTGAAAATGTTAATCACGAAAATAATAATCTTGCAAACAAAAAAAGCTTGTGCATGTCCGATAACTAAGTGTGCCCAATAACCATATGCAAATACGCCTTCCAAAATACCTCGACCACACTCTTCATGTTCTGTTTATGTAAACAATTATTGGCTATTACCATAATTAATGGAACAGAAGCTTTGGTTTTAATATTCATTGCATGCAGATCAGGAAAGAAACACATCTATTATTTAATTGTCTATATGCTCTGGGTCATTGCAGTGATTGTTTTGTGTATACAAGAATAATTATGAAATTAAGCATTTTGACTTTTGTCATTTGCACAAAAATCCAATGAAGCAGATGGCCTCACTCTCACATTAATTTGATACTTATTGCATCCTTCGGTGGCACATCGCGGCTCATTATTATTGACGGTAGTTTATAACGACGTTCACTTTTCACTTTGCGACGGCGTGGTCTCAGAACGGGCTGTCATTACATTACCGTAGAATCTGGCGAGAGTAAGTGCATTGAATGATGTAACTTTACATTCCATTCTATGAAACTTACTGCTCGGAGAACGTTAGAGGTTCCAACTCTTTGTTGCTGATTTACACTAAAATTTGAAGGTACCCGCTCTGTAACATTGCCTTTCCCCATCCTGGCAGTTCATTACCATGATTAAACATTGACGACCCCGGTTGGCTTGATTTACAGCTTTGAGGGGTTTTTAACCAAATTGTGACATTCTAAAATAAATAAGAGTGCTACACCGTGTTATATGATTCATCATGGCTCACCATATCTTTCTGGACATTTTCTCACCGTCAGCTGGTATACCGAGGCGAAATTCGGATGCTCGAGTTATTACATTTGAGTGTGTTGAATGATACAATGTTTATTTAGGTATGCATTACTTTATGTACATATTTGGTTCATTATTTTAAAATTATATTTATTTTTTTAGATAACGATTTACATATATTTTTTTACTGGTCTACAACGTAGCTGCTTTTTTCCCCAACATGGTTATGTGTTAATTATTGAGAATAAATTACTACAATGTGATAAAAAAATATATACAATATCAATTATGCTTTGCAATCTGTTTGAGAAAGTTACAAACGTAAGGTTCAATAAAGCATAATAAATCTTCTTTGGTTCTTTCGGTAAAGTCACGTAGAATGATAATAAAATAATAAATTGATAAAATAAAATAACACAATAATATTCTCACGACGTTTCGGCCACAACACAAGCGGCCTTCATCAGGTGAAGGGGGCGAGACTGTCTGGTAGGACAGCGCTGGAGTGAAAGAGCCACGTTCAGATACGGCCTTTAAGCTGTGTGAGAGGAACAAAGGCCGTATCTGAACGTGGCTCTTTCACTCCAGCGCTGTCCTACCAGACAGTTTCGCCCCCTTCACCTGATGAAGGCCGCTTGTGTTGTGGCCGAAACGTCGTGAGAATATTATTGTGTTATTTTATTTTATCAATTTATTATTTTATTATCATTCTACGTGACTTTACCGAAAGAACCAAAGAAGATGAATCATTGCAGTCACGAAAGCTTTAAATCGAAAAAGCATAATAAAGATAATGCATTTTTTAATCATCCAGGGTCCTGCACTTGGGATGTTTAGCCCATTTTTTTCACGAGCATTTGGCATGTGGGAGGAAAGCGGAGATTCAGAGGACGCCGTGCATAAGAGAGGAGGTAGCACTCAAAACTCAGCAAAAAAATTATTTCAGATTCACTTTCTGTACGACCATCTCCCGATTGCCTCGCAGTCCCACCGTTCAGCGCCTGCTATTTCCAGGCTCCCAGCCTAGTACTAACCGAGCTCAACCTTGCTTAGCTTCCAAGCTCTGACAATATCAGACACACGCGGGGTGATTTGTTCGCATTCACCATGGAGGCAGCAGTGCCACTGAATATCTGTGCAAATAAATACAACTGAAATTGTTCATTTCGGAAATGCTTGAGATAAATATGTACACCTCACGTTGAATCTCACGGGAAGTATTCCATACCTTTTAGGTGTTCCCATATCCCATTACATTTACATGTAATTGTGCAACTGTTGGCCACCTTCACCTAAGCCGTGACACTGATTAAATACTACGTCGCATTAAGGGCCACAAAAAAATATATTATTCAACGATCCACCTTTTTTTACCACTGTGTGGCGCTGGAGATATTCTGCTAAATTAATTTAGTCCGTGGGGTCATGAGGGGTTGGTTGCCGCATGACAAATGATGCGTCTGTGCAATTCATTGCTCTGCTAAGAACGTGTTCTCTCTCACCTTGCAGAATTTCTACAAGGAGATCGAGCGAGAGGAGATGTACATCAGGTAAAAGGCCACTGGCTCTGGTAGCAGTAATCAGCTGTAACTCTTTCAAAAGGGATCCCATGGGGAGCGAGGAAAGTGCCTGGCAGAATGTGGGAGGAGGAATTAGCATTGGATTTCTTTTTATGAGAGTAACATGTCTGGGACACGACGATTCATTAATTGTACTCGCAAAAAAGGGGACGAAGTTAAAGTGTTATATGGTTCCGAACGTATTATATTACATGTTTTTTGTAAAAAAAAAACAGATTTCCTATGGACAATAATTTTTTTCACAATGTTTTTATACATTATAATGGCTTGCTACGTTTTTGCAGAAGCCATGCCCTTTGTATAAAAAAAAGATGTTTATTTATATTTGGTTCATAAACTGTTGTGTAAAAATCGCACCATGCCTTTCTGCCGCCTTAGATATTTGTACAAGCTGTGCGACTTGCATTTGGAGAGTGAAAACTTCACCGAGGCTGCGTATTCGCTGCTGCTCCACGCCAAGCTGCTCAAGGTAAGCGGTCCAATCTTCTTTGTTACCGAATACATTGGTGCCCAGGGGGAACATACATAGCAACCGCTCATCTGGGAGTGTTTTCTGGACCAACGCCTCTGCAGAGTAATATTCGGCATATGGATAACGATGTTAGCGATCACGATGATTAAGGTAAAGCAGTAAAACGGGAAGGTAAAATAAACTAATGTTTATGTAATGGATTACAAACGTACGTGTTTCAAACGCCGGCTTTTCTTCAAGCAAGCCGGGTAGTTGAGATTTGTTTTTAATTTAGTTTTTCGTTCATGTGTGTGTGTGTGATATGTAGATGCTCGCTAACAGCACTTGCCCCAACAGTCTGTTAAGGCTACACGATCTTTCTCTGTGTCTGTGATATGTAGGTGCTAGCTAAAATCACTTCCTACTATAGTCTATTAAGGCTACACGGGGGATCTTTGTCTTTGATATGTATGTTATAGGAACAATAACACAAAGATTTTGATTTAAAGCTTTCGTGACTGCAGGCATTCGTATTCTTGGTGACGGTAAAGTCACGTAGAAGGGAAGCAATAAAATTATAAAAATAGAAAACAATTCTCACGACGTTTCGACTGCAACACAAGCAATCATCATCAGGTGCGAAAACCACAAAAAGAAAATTTGAAAAAAAGTGGCGGTTATTTTTAACGTTAGCACCACGGAGAGAGATTTGACAGTTTGTTCAGATGGACGACATTGACATGACATTGACTTCTCCAAGACAGAGGTTCTTTGCAAGCCATCTGGCTACCATGAGAGATTCGTTCATGAGGCTATCCACATATACAAACACAGAGACAATTTCAACCGAGAAGATGGATTCTGGCTAGCAATCATTGGAAGGTTTGATAAACCATTTCAGGTGGCTTTCAGACCGCATCCATTATTTTTCGTCTCCCCCCCTCCTCTTTTCCGAACATAGATGGACTCGTCCATCTGAACAAACTGTCAAATCTCTCTCCGTGGTGCTAACGTTAAAAATAACCGCCACTTTTTTTCAAATTTTCTTGTTGTGGTTTTCACACCTGATGATGATTGCTTGTGTTGCAGTCGAAACGTCGTGAGAATTTTATTGTTTTATATTTTTATTATTTTATTGTTTCCCTTCTGCGTGACTTTACCGAAAGAACCAAGAATATAATAACACAAAGCTCAACATCTCTTACGATTATTTTGACTACTCTATAAATAATAGATATACGTTGCCATGGTGTAATTGTTAGCCCATTGGATTTGCAATCCCAAAGGCCACCCATTCGATCTCCCAGCGTGGCATTTATAAACCATGGTGCAAGTTTCTTAAAGTCTCCCATCAGTATTCGATAGGCATGCCACAGTTAGTGGATCAGCACGTTGCACGTGGTGGGGTAAAGTGTGGCTACTCCCACCTCTCCCAAGACGTCCGGCCAGTATGGAAGAAGTAGGCCAAAGTACCCTCGAGAGGACTCTCCAGAGCTCCTTCTCGTGGAATCCCTTCTGCGAGGCAGAAATATATCTTTTACAAATCTGAGCAAGAAACGGTCATAATTGGCGTTTCTCCGAATAGCTGCTAAATACGTGAGCAATGGCCAGGGTCGTTTGCTTGGGAATGCGGATATTCAGGATGTGTGTGCGGCGAGCGCACATTCAGACTCTCTGGTCCACTGCATGCATTATGGCCCTAATGTACAAACAACTGAAGCACCGACAGCACAAATGTGCCGTTTATTTAATGGCAGGTTTAATGCAACAGAGCAGCATCATTAAAGCAAGTCGATGCACTTAAGAGGTAAGCCTCGCTGTGAGTTGTAAATGGCATCAAATCAACGTGGAATAGGGCATTGTTAAAAGGGAATCAGCAACCTCGGTTGCTATCCAAAAGGGCCTCGTGGGTATGTTGGTGTGAGCCTCTGCAATCCATCCGCTTGAGAGGCCGAGATAAGGTGGTGGTGGTGGCACAACGGTACCGTGGTGGTGTCTCAGTCTGCCCACATTCGGGTCTGTAGAGCGGCCATACAACAAGTATGTTGTTACTCTTTGGTTCTATTCGGTAAAGTCACGTAGGTAAAACAAATTAAAATAACTTGAAATAAAATAAAATAAACAATTAAAACACGACGTTTCGGAGGCAAAGCAAGCTTCCGTCTTCAGGTGGGACCAGTCACAGCAAAATCGCTGCACTTGGTGCAGAAGACGGAAGCTTGCTTTGCCTCCGAAACGTCGTGTTTTTAATTGTTTATTTTATTTTATATCAATTTATTTTAATTTGTGTTACCTACGTGACTTTACCGAATAGAACCAAAGAGTATGAATCCTTGCAGTCACGAAAGCTTCAAATCTAGAATTAAGTATGTTGTTGACCTATGAGTTTGCATTTCGAGTTAATCATTCGCGTATTTCTCTTTTTACTGCTCGCAAATTTCTTGTGAGGATGGCCAGGGCCTCTTGTTAAATCCATCAACCTTTCTTTATACGGCGCACGTCACGTCAATGAAGGCATCTCAGGGGACTTTACTATAAATATAAAAAACACATTTACATGAATGCCCAACACTGGTGGGATATAGACCGTTGGCAACATTCATAAAATGTTCGCATACCTCCCTGCAGTAAAAATTATGAAAACTCAGCAAGCTCATCAAAAACACTGCCTTAATAGGACAATGGACAGTTGACGTTTCAGACAATAGCCCTACATCGTACATTAAAGGAAGAAGGGCCATAGCCTCGAACGACGCTGTGTTATTGACGAACGTATCGAGTTGTTGTTATTTGTACTTGTGCGCCACTGCCAACCCAGTATCGCCAATAATTAGAAGAAAAAAATATAAATACGGTGTTCTGTGGAGATTTTTGTTTTACCTGCAATAGTTCCACGCACAATCTCCCACAGCCTTGCGGACGACGTGATAGGGGCCACTAGCCACAGCAACATTTTAATTTAATAAAAGCTTATATCATAATTAAGCTTTCTTGTGGTGGGAAACAAGGACATTTCGATAGCATTGCCTCCCTTTGTTGCCTTGACAGCATACAATGGCTTTCCCCTGCAGATGATGAAATCTTATGATTCTCACATACCACATATATATTCTATCCACAATAACATGGATGGGAAATTGGTTTCATGCACCCTCTGAGAATAGCTTGCTCCTTGATAATATACTCAAACCGCAACATACAGACATGATTCCTGTTTCATACGGAGATGTACATTTATGTAACTTTTGCTAAGTGTGTGCCAGATATGTGCTTTGCTACGGTAAACACTCCTACTGGGACTACCATCTACTCAATGATCTCACTTTCAACTTGTCACCACCTGCAAAACACTGGTTTCGGAACATTAGCGTAACATTGTCCCCCAAAGGTCGCGACTACATTAAACACTTATTTTTTTTCCCTCCTTACCTCTCCTTTTTCTCTTTGTTGAAATGCATAAACAATAAAGTAAGAGGACGACAGCAAAAATGGAAGCAGTGCTCCTTCAGGGGACATTTTCTGAGAAAACTATTTGTTTGGAGAGCGTCCAGTGCAATTCTCTGCAATAATGTTAGTTGAAGGTAGCCATCCGATTGATAGCGATAATTGGGGGGGGGGGGGGGGGGGGGGGGGCGGATACGGAATAGGCAAGAAATAGGATGAAAACGAATTTAGCAACACGCGCGTGAAAAAAAAAAAGCCATCACAATGTGAATGAATTTTAGGAAGGGGATATTAGCATCACGGTTGTGATTTATGATTCGTGACGGAGCGGTTTCACTCGGGCCATTTTGTGGTTCCATCGCAGTGGTCGGACGACTTGTGCGTCGGCCACGAGATGCAGAGGAACTCCCACCACGCCGACACTCATCGGCAGCTCAAGGAGTCTCTCTATCAGGACATCATTAAATACTTTGACGACGGAAAGGTGAGAGCAATTGGGGAGTCGCATTTGTGCGCGTTGATGAGCACGCCGTAAGGGCTTTATTTTTACTGTTGTGAGAGTGGCTGTTGCCTTTCTACATTTAGATTTCTTTTTTTTCAATTTATAATTTAATGTGTGCACAAGGGCACATGTTAAAATTGTGTCATTTTGATGCCAACATCTAAAAACGCGAACAACAATTCAATACTTGCCGCTAATTGGTCTTCATTGGGTGCGCTCCCTTCCTGGCGCTAATGATGATGAATTTTACATACGTGTACTTGCTCAATTATTTGAAACTAAACTCAAACTAATGCTATGCACAGGCACTTCTGTAGGCAATGGGTTAATATGTGAACGTGCTGGCCATTCAAAAAGCAAAGTTACCGTTAATCATATATTATTTTCTTTAACATATCCCACATATGTATAGAAGCAAACTGACTCTTCCATTAACCTGAATGGATGATGTTCAGGTCCAGTGTAAGTCATACTTCTGCACAAGCCTTTACAATAACACTGCGATTGCAGGACAGTTTTTTTTATATATAATTAAAATTCCAAGAAGCTTAAATGTACAAAACGAAGTGTGATATTTTACGTCTCTCGATAAATCTCCATGGCTCTGTGACATAGTTGCTCGTGTTAATCTATGGCCTTTAAAAGCAACGTCATGAAAAAAAGGTGAATGAGGAAAATGTGGGCGGCATTATTTGCACTTTAGCATTCGGCCAACGTTTACGCTTATGCTCTCTTTCTCAGATGTGGGAGGAGGCTATTGTGCTGTGCAAAGAGCTGGCTGAACAGTACGAGATGGAGATTTTTGACTACGAGCAGCTCAGCCAGCTGCTGGTAAAAATAATCTTTTGCCAAAGGATCTGCGTGTGTGTGTCAAGTGTGCGTTTGCGAATGTTTGGGAGGAGCAGTAATGTCGTGGTTAGCTACAAACACAGTGACCCGGGTTCGATTCCCGCTCACGGCCAACACCAGTGACCATTATCTAAACAGGTCCTGGGCCTCCCCTAGTTCGACTCAGCCTTAAATAAGTACCTGGTGTGGTATGTAAACATCGCCACTGGGGAGACAAATGTGGTCGGGCATGGTGCTGGCCACCCACCCACTCGTGTGCCGCTCCTGCCTTCATAGGTATTCGCTGACAGCACTTGCCCCAACAGTCTGTTAAGGCAATACGGGGGATCTTTGTCTTTGTTGTGAATGTTTTGGTGGCGTGGTAGTATCCTGACTAGCACCTTGCACTACGAACCAAGTCCCCCAAGTTCGATTCCCAGCCATGGCTAACATCATTGACAAGTGGTGTCTGAACGAGTTCTAGTCACCACTCTCACCAAGCAGCATTGACAAGCATGGTGAAGTATGGTAAAATAACCCCTACGATTGACATCACTTGGCGAGGCCATCATTCAGCAGTGGATTGCCAGAGGGTTCAAAATTACATACTTTTTTATCGGTTAATGACGGTATTTACAATACTCTATACATGTATTTAATAAAATGTGTGGTTTCAGTGGTTAGAGCATTGCGCTATAGTCAGTGACCTGAGCTTGATTCCCAATGACCGCTAACATCACCGGCCCTGTCCCCCTCTCACCACCAACTAGGTCAATTCAGCCCTAAATTAGAGCTTGGTATAGTGTGCATACATCAGCACTGGGGAGCCAACGGCAGCCAAACATAGTGCTGGCCACAAAACCCCCTTGTGTGCTGTGCCGGCTGTCTATCATAGGTGCTCGCGAGCAACACTTGCCCCAAAGTCTATGGGAATATAAGGCTGGGGCGTGGCAGTTTACACACTGTGCTACAAACCCCAAAATCTGACTAGTATTCCTGCCCAGAGGCAACATCAGTGGCAAGTGGTGTTAGAACATTATCCTAGGCCTCTCCTAATCAACTTAGCCTTAAATTAGTACCTGGTGTCGTGTGTGTACATCAACACTAGGGAGAGAAAGGTAGCCAGGTGTGGAGTAAGCCACACTAGCCTCTTCAACACTTGCCCTGTAAGTCTGTATGGCTATTCAGTGGATCTTTGTCTTTGTGTTTGTCAAAGAACAACATACAGATCCATATAGATTGACCTACAGACAATTGTCAATAAATCCATACCTTCCGCAGCTATTTCAATTATTCGTTCGTTTCTCAATCTGCTTGTCCTGGTGAGGGTTGCGGCGGCAGTATGTTGAGTAGGGCGGTCCAGACCTCCCTTTCCCTGGCGACGGACTCCAGCACTACATTACTATACAGACTACACCATACACTACTATACACTACACTACTATACACTACTATACACAGACTCGAGCTCTTCCAGGGGAATTCCCAGGCGTTCCCATGCCAGCCGAGTGACATAGTCTCGCCAGCGTGTCCTGGGGTCTTCGCCCATTGGGACGTGCCCGATAAAGTTCTAGGGGGAGTCTACCGGGGGGCATCCTTACCAAGGTGCCCAAACCACCTCAAATGGCTCCTCTCGATCTGGAAGGAGCAGCGGCTCGACTCTGAGGATCTCCCGGATTACCGAGCTCCTCACACGATCACGGAGAGTGAGCCCGGTAACCCTGCGGTGAATCCTTGGCAATGGACATTAGCTATTTCAATTATGCTAACGATAAACACAACATTACATTGAAAACAAATACCCCTCTGGTGATCCCTGAAATGGGGGCCCTTCAGCGATGAGTGGCATTAAGCAAGTAACTTGGGGCTGCTCCTGTACCTATTTTACGTGCAACTTTTTGTTTAATTCCTCCAGCAAAAACAGGCACTGTTCTATCAGAAGATCATTAACATCAAGAACCCAAGACCCAAACGAGACTACTTTTCAGTGGGTTATTACGGCTACCGATTTCCAACGTTTCTGAGAGTGAGTACACAATGCATACTCAAACTTTGTTCGAAAAACGGTTATACGTGACGAATAATTGACAGGTCATTTCATTGCTCCTCTCTAAAACATGACGCGAAACACCAAAATGTCTTCTGTCAGTTTATAAACGATTGAATTTCAGTGCCGATTCTCTCTTTCTCTCTCCACATAGTCTTCAATATCTCTCGCATTCCTTAAACTTGCATCCTGTACTCGTTCTCATGGACTGTCCATTCTTAAACTAACGGAGCCCATTGTGGCTGGGTGGAAACTAACAATTGTCTTGAGTCAAGTTGTCACGTGAACAGGAAATGCAATCCATATAACTAAACTCATCAATATATACTGTTGGTACGTAAGGAAAACAAAAGTCTTCACCATGACGTGGTTTAAAATTCCATAACTATGAAATAGGATTCATATTAACACAACTCACATTATGAACTGTTAACAATGTGCATGTAACATTAAACATGTTATTAAGACAATACAGTGAGGGGAAAAACGTATTTGATCCCCTGCTGATTTTGTACGTTTGCCCACTGAGAAAGAAATGATCAGTCTATAATTTTAATGGTAGGGTTATTTGAACAGTGAGAGACAGAATAACAACAACAAAAATCCAGAAAAACGCATATCAAAAATGTTATAAATTGATTTGCATTTTAATGAGGGAAATAAGTATTTGACCCCCTCTCAATCAGAAAGATTTCTGGCTCCCAGGTGTCTTTATACAGGTAACGAGCTGAGATTAGGAGCACACTCTTAAAGGGAGTGCTCCTAATCTCAGCTTCTTACCTGTGTAAAAGACACCTGTCCACAGAAGCAATCAGTCAATAAGATTCCAAACTCTCCACCATGGCCAAGACCAAAGAGCTCTCCAAGGATGTCAGGGACAAGATTGTAGACCTACACAAGGCTGGAATGGGCTACAAGACCATTGCAAACAGCTTGGTGAGAAGGTGACAACAGTTGGTGCGATTATTCACAAATGGAAGAAACACAAAAGAACTATCACTCTCCCTCGGCCTGGGGCTCCATGCAAGATCTCACCTCGTGGAGTTGCAATGATCATGAGAATGGTGAGGAATCAGCCCAGAACTACACGGGAGGATCTTGTCAATGATCTCAAGGCAGCTGGGACCATTGTTAACACACTATGCTGTGAAGGTCTGAAATCCTGCAGCGCCCGCAAGGTCCCCCTGCTCAAGATAGCACATATATATGCCCGTCTGAAGTTTGCCAATGAACATCTGAATGATTCAGAAGACAACTGGGTGAAAGTGTTGTGGTCAGATGGGATCAAAATGGAGCTCTTTGGCATCAACTCAACTCGCCGTGTTTGGAGGAGGAGGAGGAATGCTGCCTATGACTCCAAGAACACCATCCCCATCGTCAAACATGGAAGTGGAAACATTATGCTTTGGGGGTGTTTTTCTGCTAAAGGGACATGACAACTTCACCGCATCAAAGGGACGATAGACGGGGCCATGTACCGTCAACTCTTGGGTGAGAACCTCCTTCCCTCAGCCAGCGCGTTGAAAATGGGTCGTAGATGGGTATTTCAGCATGACAATGACCCAAAACACACGGCCAAGGCAACAAAGGAGTGGCTCAAGAAGAAGCACATTAAGGTCCTGGAGTGGCCTAGCCAGTCTCCAGACCTTAATCCCATAGAAAATCTGTGGAGGGAGCTGAAGGTTCGAGTTGCCAAACGTCAGCCTCAAAACCTTAATGACTTGGAGAAGATCTGCAAAGAGGAGTGGGACAAAATCCCTCCTGAGATGTGTGCAAACCTGGTGGCCAACTACAAGAAACGTCTGACCTCTGTGATTGCCAACAAGGGTTTTGCCACCAAGTACTAAGTCATGTTTTGCAGAAGGGTCAAATACTTATTTCCCTCATTAAAATGCAAATCAATTTATAACATTTTTGACATGCGTTTTTCTGGATTTTAGTTGTTGTTATTCTGTCTCTCACCGTTCAAATAAACCTACCATTAAAATTATAGACTGATCATGTCTTTGTCAGTGGGCAAACGTACAAAATCAGCAGGGGATCAAATGTTTTTTTCCCTCACTGTATGCATGTCTTTTTTAGAAGGTTTTTACCAACTTACAGATATGACATTTCCACATTGCTATTTTATCCCTGGACTAATAATTGTTTTTTTACATCATATACTTGCATTTATTTATATTATTTCATGGCATGACATATAATAGGGTTTTAGCTTAAATGTCATGGCTTGCTTGAGCCTTGTCCACATAATTGGAGAACTGGGGTTAATTGCATAGCACATAGAATTATCTATAATATACTGGAGTGTGATTTAGTGAAATAATTCCATTTTGCAAATTGTAGCAGTCTCTTCACAGGCCATGGAATTACCATTATCAGGTGATAGTAATTATGCTATGCAAATTAGTTGAGAAATGTATTAAAGGAAGCAGGATTGCTTAATGGTTTTTTGTCGAGTCGAGTATAAGTGTGAGAAATATATATTTCATTGCACTGAATGTTCCATTATTGTTTTAGTCAACCAACAATAACAATATAGCAATAATTAAAATGTCCAAGTGAAAAGAGACTGTGTTCTTTTGACAAATTCTTTGCAACACTTTGTTTATGCGGTAACAGGGGAGGTTGACGTGAACCAATGTCAAAGTTAACAGTTATATATCCCTGTTGCGCGTGTTATCACGGCGAGGAAAGGAAGCGATTTTAAGGGAGTACTTTAGCAGCGTCTTGGTCACGAGGTGTCATGTTTCAGGAACTGGATAGCCTGCCGGTCAACATGCTTGCCACCCAGGACAGTTTGCAAAAAGGGGGGACGGCCACCAACGTGATTCCTGCACCACCCAGTAATGACAGCGAGGCATTAAAACGCCCCATATGCTGTAAGAGGAAAGGATATTAAGGGGCCCTGTGACAGCAATAACAAAGAGGAGGACCATTGTTTGCCAACGTAATAGCCCCAATTTTTTTTCACAACTTGGAAGAAACCAAACCCCCCTCCCCGCCCGCCCCCGTCCCTTACCTGTGCAGGCTCTCAGGTCTCCCTTGCGAGAAAGATAATATGCTTTGATAACCTCAGTTGTGTTTACCTTAAAGACACCGATAGGTTAACCACAAAAAGCACACGAGATGCTTTGGCATCTCGGAGGCTGCGTGCGGTGTTCCTTTGCTCATAATTGTTCCCACCCGTTGGATGACAAACGCCAGAACAAAGTGTTCGTGCACCGTGGGGGAGAATACGAGCGGAGGGAGGATTTCGAAATGCGCATCATGACGATGTTCCCGAACGCCGAGAAGATGAAGACGACAAGTCCTCCAGGCGACGACATCCGCAATGCCTCCGGGCAGTGTATCCTTCACGCCTTTACATCGCTGCCCGTACACACAGAAAGGCAGTTGCAACAGAAAAAAACATTAACCCGTGGCTCTAGAGAGCTTCGCAATGAAAGTTTCTACGTAATGGTTAGCGGCGGTGGAAGGAGTCTTGTCGCGATGCACGTAGCTCTCTCCGATGTGTTTTTGGGGTTGTGTCGCAAGAATGTTCGGCACGATGTGCCATGCTTCGCCCCACGTTGCCGAAGGAGCTGAAGAAGCCGCCGGCGGCACATGGAGTCAAACGTCAGAGATCGTGGGAATTTTTTAAGTTGAAATTAGCTTCGTGAGAGAGATTTTGTCGATTACAAACGGTTTTAATGTTTAGCTCTGCTAGGCGTTTTCCGGGTGTAACTCCGCGTTGCTTCGGTTGCTGGCCAATGTTTTCGCTGCACGTGCTGGGAGGTTCATGATCCAATTATTGAGTATTCCATTCTGAACGCCACGTGGTGCAATCTAAAAACGCGTCGGAGAGCTCCACGGCCCAACTGCAAAAAAATTCACAAGACCTCATGGACACATACCTACACATTCACACCATAATAGAGTATTTGGGTTAGATTACGTGAATATAAATGAGTCTTTAAACCCGCCACCACCAGACAGCCAAATAGTAAGGTTTGTCACGTGAACGAAACATGCAAATTCGTTACTAGTACAGCACACCGGTTTGTCGGAGAGTAAACCCACAGCATTTACATTTCGAGTACAACTGTATTTAAAACCGTACGAATCTATGTAGACCTTTTAACGAATGCGCTTCGTTTTAATCTACGAACCGAAATGATTCCCGAGCTGTTATTTTTAATAGTGCACAAATAGTTCTGCATTGAACATAAAACATACAACATTGAAATGGACTGAAAGAGCAATGTTTTAAGTGAAAGAGTCAGCAACCACCAGAGACCTGCGCTTCTGCAAAGTCCCCAAACTATTCGTGCTTTCTAGAGCTAAATTTTTTTCAATAATTTTACACGCACTGAGATTTAAAATACTGTATATATCTTTTTTGGGGGGGATATAAGCGTTACAACATTTCCAAAAATGCAAAGTCAGCACTTTAAGTTGGCATGGGGACGTGCACCATACACTGGGGTTTGACACAGTCTACTATGACAAAGTGTTTCAAATGTTCAGTGAGAGTTTTTTGTGAGAAAACAAATCTGCTGAAATATGAATAATAACAAGTCTCTACAGCTCCACGAGGCATTGAAAACGGTGAAATGGATGCGGTATATTATTTTCTGTCTACTAATGCTGATTTACAAAACTAATAAGATTGCTATACCTGAATGAAATGAAGCCTCGGGGTGGTCATTGGTCTTCTGCTTTGGCAGTTTTATATTTATAAGTTTAATTTTATACAGAAAGAACTAAAAATTTGACAAACTTCGTTCGACAAACATTTGTAATTTTCTCAAATGTATTTTCCAAGATTTGTGGTTAATGGAAAAACATTGACTATTACAAAAATACAGCCATGTTTTTGTCATATATCCATAACCCTATATTCATAAATAATTGCAAGACGTAGTATTATATATAAAAAAATACACCCTCCAATATAACATTTACTTTGGATTAAGCATTTTTATCGTATTTGTTTTTTTTATACTGGACTGGACAAAAGTTGCGGCATTCTTTCAACCACTTAATACTGAAGGTAGATTCTTTTTTAAAATTAAATTCTCCAGTGGCGTGGGGGGGGGCATTTCTCAAGAGCATGATTCATTACCTACCAAGAAGATCACAGCGAAGAAAGAGTAATTATTTTTTTCCATATATCTCAACATGTGATACGACCTTGAGTGACAGCTGAATGGAGGAATTGCTTAATACTTGTTATGCTGCACCAAGCCCACCTTATCCACCTGGGAGCTCGTTGGTGCCACGCTAATGCATCCTATCTGGGGAGAGAACCCTCCTGGCTCAAACCACCCACGCACTGTTCCCGCTCAATGCAGTCATCCATATGGAGAGGTTAGGCACCACGAGCGACAGCAATTGTCCATTACGGGGTTAGAATGTAGGCAAACAGACAAGCTGTTTTGCTGAGAGAGCGATGCAAACGTGTGTGGCGCTAAGTCATTCCTGCCTGGGATGTGCCTTTATATAACATTTAGCTGGAATTGCCTACGTTTTACATATAATACCGCGATTCTAATCTACCGCTTATTTCGATGCGAGTGTGGTAAAGATCATCAATATATATTACAAAAACTGTCAGTTTGTGTGTAGTAAGTACAAGGTTCAGCATTGAAATTGCTTCCACGCCACTGCTGGTAGAGGGCTGTCCACTAGCGGAAAGCTCTCTGGAGAGTCGATGCAGAGGGTCTTTTAGCCTACTCTTCCACACTGGCCAGATGTCTAGGATGAAGTGGGAATAACTACACTTTACCCCACCACGGGAGGGATGAAGTAAACTTTCACAATTGTTTCAACTGTGTGCAGGCCCAAAATATTCAATCTGTTAAAGAACTAGTGTATTCTAACTTTGAGAAGAGTCAATCCAACTTTATTTGTTTTAAAATGGGACTTTGTGCTGCTTATCATTATGAAAAATCAGCTCGACTCACTGAGACAAACATACAATCCTTTTGATTTAAAGCTTAGTGACTGCAGGGATTCATATTCTTGGTTCTTTCGGTAAAGTCGCTAGAAGGGAAACAATAAAATAATAAAAATATAAAGCAATAAAATTCTCACGACGTTTCGACTGCAACACAAGCAATCATCATCAGGTGTGAAAACCACAACAAGAAAATTTGAAAAAAAGTGGCGGTTATTTTTTAACGTTAGCATCACGGAGAGAGATTTGACAGTTTGTTCAGATGGACGAGTCCATCTATGTTCGGAAAAGAGGAGGGGGGAGACGAAAAATAATGGATGCGGTCTGAAAGCCACCTTAAGCGTGATCAATCAATTAACACCCGAAATGGTTTATCAAATCCTTCCAATGATTGCTAAGCCAGAATCCATCTTCTCGGTTGAAATTGTCTCTGTGTTTGTATATGTGGATAGCCTCATGAACGAATCTCTCATGGTAGCCAGATGGCTTGCAAAGAACCTCTGTCTTGGAGAAGTCAATGTCATGTGAACCTACTGAATTATAACAGTGATCTGCCACGGCTGAGGTGTTGGTCCTACCGTGTTTCAGGTCTGCTTTGTGTTCACGAATGCGGTCCGAGACACGTCGTTTTGTTTCTCCAATGTAACTACTACCACAGAGGCAACTTAGTTTGTAGACTTTACCGAAAGAACCAAGAATATACAATCCTTTTCCACTGTATACTCCGATGGACATCCTTTGGGTCAGAGTCACCTAAATGTCCTTGAGTCTAATCGTCCATTAACAACCAACGCATGTACCCATACAAGTAGCCTTTGCAATCATTGTGTTGTCCATGAAACATAATTCATTTTAATGGCACCATCAAATTTAGTTTTCATGTCAAAGCGATTTCCTGCTCCAACGAACATGGGCCAGTGGTCATCTTCTGTTTACAGCCCTGAGCCAGTGATGAAGATTCCATGTTCCTATGGCAGGGGTGAGTCCATCCATACGACAACCACTGTTGACTTCTCCACAAAGTGGTACCTATTTTATGGACCCCAGTCAGCTTGATGGGCAGAGGCAACACCCAATCGGGATTTCAACTCGCAATTTACTGATTGTGAGCCGCTCGCTCAACCGCAAAGTCACCTGCCCGGGTATAGAATTAAATAGTTATCCATGTGTTAATAAATGCACAGCGTAGCTGTAGTATACTGTATTCATATGGCGGCTGTGACTTGTTTTGTAAACCACAGTACAATGGGTGCACTTTGGAGGCTTCATCTGTCTTCTTGCGTGCTGAATGTCAGCGTGTAAACAGCTTGGTACATTTTGACATTTTGTCCATTACATTTTGAAAATGATTTAGGTGCTTCTACTGCAATGGGATTTTAATTAATAAAGCAACATACGATAAGCTTACGTTCATCACATTTGAAAATGCCATTTTTTTAATGTAAGATTGCTTTTAAACAATGGCAATCTTTGGCTTTGACGCGACTGGATCCCAAGGTATGTGTACAGCGCGTCAGTCCGTAAACACGACGTCCAACTTTTCCTCTCAACTTGCCAAACAAAGGTGACCGAACGCTGCTCAATAATATATTTGATAACGAAAATAGCATCGGTTATGGGGCTACGACTATGAGACCCCATGCTCTTGTAGTGACGTCACTTGTGACAGGCTGACCAGTAGCGCGCGGTTGTGATGCCCTTTCTGAAACGTTGGTTCACACAGACACATTTTTCAGGTTTGTGAAGATACACATATCCCTGTGTGTCTGCGTTCTAATCGTTGCATCACGTCCATTGTAGTGGCTCTAATGTACCCTCCGTACCCTGCTAATTTGATTGTGCATGAACTACAGAATATGGATGGAGAGTGATCCATTTATGGATACCCCAATGATTTATGACCCTTTTACTAACGGGGGGATTAAAGATGGCCATAGCAATGGCCCCACGCCTTGCAGACAAGAGTGCTGCGAGGTTTAATACGTGCATTTACGTGGCACTTGCTTCAATGCCTTGGCATCTCAGAGCACCTTATACATCACGCCTCGTCTCAACCATTCAAAGGGGACGTGTAGAAGCTTTGAAAATAACGCCACTGCAATAATTTTAGTAGTGTATCTATAAATGTGTTTATGGGTGTTAAGGAGACACATGCAGTGCAAATATGTTGTTTTAATTGTTTATCTTAATAACCTTTCCAAAAACAAGACGTGCAATGCTTCACTGTCCAGCCAATCCTAGAGGAACAGCCGCAATTCAAGGGCAAGAATGTTCCAGAATCCCTGATGAGGTAAAGCCTTCGCACTTCCCCTTCATAAATATCAGGCAGGTAACGATAGTTTGATTAAAATGGATTTTTCTTACACTCGTGATACATGCATCGGCACGTGCAAGTGAGAACGCACTTCAATTTGATTTAACGACTTACACCAATCATGCAAATAAGAGTTGTGGCGAGGGACCTGGTGAACCCATGTTCCATTCCTGGCCACGGCTAACATCAGCGGCGCGAGGTAACCGAAACGATCACTGGGCACCTCCACCAATCGGCAGCGTGCGTAGCGCGCGGCACTGCGCATCTACGCACGCCCTGCGACCTCGGGTCGATGCCCAGCCGTGGCTTACATCGGTGGCCATTGATATCTGAATTGATCCTGGACACTTCCACTTCACCGGTCCACGCTGACTGGTGCGGTGAAGTATGGTCAAACAACTCCTATGACTGAAAGGCGTTTGGGGGGGGGGGGGTGCTGTATGTAGACACCGGGGGGTGTAACAATGCACTGATGAATTGATTCGTATTGTTATGCTCGTGATACATGCATCAAATCACGTGCGTAATAAATGGTCAAACATTGAAGTATGGTCAAGCAACTCCCATGACCATGAGAGCATGCGGAGGCTTTCATAGAGCGGTGGATTGTAAATTGTACGTAAATTAGGCTAATGGTGGGAAAACAACAAATGTAAGACCGGAACAGGATTTCTCGAAAATTATGTCTGTCACCTGATGAGGCTGGTTGTAATTACCTGCGAAACGTCGTACTCGAATTTTAAATGTTGTGGGTTTACTCTCCAACACACCGGTGTGCTGAACAAGTAAGTAACGAATTGCCATGTTTCGTTTACGTGACAAACCTTACTAATTGGTGTCGGATGGTGGCGGATTTAACGATACATTTATATTTACGTGATCTAACCCAAAAAAAACCCTCTTATTGATAATTTTGGTCGCAAAAGCCGCCTGCGTTTTAAACTGAGAAATGAAAAAGATGGGCAAAAATAGAATTAACAATACCAATGGGACAGTAAAAAGATCCTGACAAATACTTTCGTTGAATAATTACCCTGAATGGTGACAATTCAACTAATCACTTCCACCCCAGTGTTGTAATTGTATTAATTACATTAGAATATGTTTTACCTATGTGAGCTGTGTCTGACTGTCGCCTTCAATCTGAAGCTTCTACAAGAACAATCACGTCCACAAGTTCTCCTACTCACGGCCGTTCCGAAAGGGAGAAAAGGACCCAGATAATGAATTTGCCGTAAGTTATTTTTAACTCATCTTTAAAATGCAATGTCCTACATCCGATTATGATCAAATGTCCACCGTGACCAATTATCCACCAAAAGATGTTCACAAATCCAACGTTTTCAAGGGCAAATGCATTCTCAATCGTGTGTGCGTCATCAGAATCTTGATTTAGACTGGAGGAATCCAATGAGCCAGGAAGCTCTTTTTGACATGTTCCAGTAGGGGCGGGTCAGAAAGTTACAACAACAATACAAAAACCCGATAGGAGTGCAAAGTATGAAAATGCATCTTCTTGGTTCTTTCGGTAAAGTCACGTAGAATGAGAATAAAACAATAAAACAAAATATGACAATAAAATTCTCACGACGTTTCGGCCACAACACAAGTAGCCTTCTTCAGGTGAAGGAACAGAACTGTCGGGACGACAGCGCTGTCGTCTCTCTGTGTGACGACTGCTTGTGTTGCTATCGAAACGTCGTATTCTATTATTTAATTTATTTTCTTTCTACGTGACTTTACCGAAAGAAACAAAGAGTAATGTATACAAGGTCCTGGACAGCAATGGCCTTTAATCGCAAATCTCTGGGGCGTACTGCATCTACGGTTGTTGTCAACGCATGATGTACAATGTGCCGTTTCCAGACGATGTGGATTGAAAGAACAATTTTTGTGACCGCATACAAGCTTCCTGGAATACTGCGCTGGTTTGAAGTGATAACAACAAGCACGGTGAGCATGGGGATACTTACTCCCTTTTCTTCCTACATGTGTTCTAATGCGTTCTGTAATGGCCCTGTGTTTGCGAGCTGAATATGTTATCAGCAACCATGCTTCGGGTGCTTTATATGCGCGGGAAGGGATGCTGCCCTGGTGCAATGTTTAGCGCACCAGACTTGGCAATCCAGAGGCGGCCGGTTCAGCTGCCAACGCGGGAGTTGAACAACTGGTGCCGGTGCCTTAAATCCCCCCCAAACCGCCTCCGTCGACCCAGCAGTATAAATGGGCTCACCACAGTGAAGCCGATCGGCAGGTCGCGAGCGGTGGGGCAAAGTGCGGCTACTCCCACTTTTTCCAAGGTTCCTGCCCTGCGTGGAAGAGTAGGTCAAATACCCACCAGAGGGGCTCTCTGGAGAGGAGTCCCTTTCACCAGCAGTGGCGTGAGCAAGCAGTTGCAGGGCTGCACCTTTATATAAATACGTGTAGGTATAATGAATATGATCACAATTTTGAAATGTGTTGGTACATACTCATTGATTGGTACACTGCCACATTTCAAAAGTAAGCTTTTTTTTCTTCAATGCAGAAGGAAAGTAATTTTTTTACTGAAAAAAACGAATCCACAAATTGAAAGTTTTTTCAAAAGGTTGAATTGGTCCTGGGGATAAGGTGGTGGTTTGAATCACAACATCCTTCAACCCAGACAAATCGATACCTGCAGGTGGAGATCAGCCCGCTGGAGAATGCCATTGAGGCCATGGGCATTGCAAATGATGAGATCCTCACCATGGTGCTGCAACATCACAACAACCCCAACCTTCCCATCAACCCGCTGTCCATGCGGCTCAGCGGGATCGTGGATCCAGCCGTCATGGGTGGCCTGGCCAACTACGAGAAGGTCAGGGGTCGCGGTGGAATGTTTCGCCACTGAACGGCTTGCGGGCCTGCCGATTTGCACCGCCGCGTAAATAGCGCAGGGCCCTGCCATCACGCATCACCGTCATTTGTGCTTTGCGAGCCGAGTTGCACAAATCTCAGACTGTTAATCCATGGCCCAGAGCAGAATACGGTGCCACGAGAGGTGGAAGATGTTTAGCGAAACCAGTTTCTGGAAGTCGACTTAATAAAAGTTGATTACGTGATAACCTACTTTCTACGCTTTTTAACCTAGGAAAGCCTCTCTGAGTCGTCTCAAAGCTCTCCTGCAGGAGGGTCCTGCTAAAAAAAAAATAGCAGTAGGGTGCGACAATTTCTGTCTATTTCCCAATAGATTACAGTGCTTATTAAAACAAGGTTATTTCTGAAAACACTTTTACTGGCGATTTGTAAATCATTGTAAAAATTAAGTCCTGCCATCTTAGGTGATACTAACAAGTTAAATATTTGGCATGCGCCCAGCTTCGATGGGCGATACAGCCAAAAGTAATTAAATGTGTAATGATTTGTCGATTCAAATTGATTCCTACACCCATGAAACCATAATACAAGCATAAAATTGTGCATCTATGGATTAGTCAGTTACCAGGTCGTCATTGAAAAGAGCTTCTTAGTAGCTTAATGGGCCTTATACAAAATCAACTGACTGAAGTTACACAAATTATGCTTGAATACAGGACAAGTTGCATACGAGCGCACCTTACATGCAGTTCTGATGTAAGAAACAGATCCTCAAATTACACTCTGTATCAGATGTTGCTCTTTACTCACCCCAAGGAGTGTGGCTTATACCTCAGCGTCCACAGTATGCCTTTACACAAATGTAATAAATGAGACAATGTTACAAAAAGAAACATTCGTAAATAATACTGTGACTGTGAATCGTAACAATCCATCATATCATAAAGGTGGTGCATTATTACTATGCCTATGTTTTATATGTGTGGGGAGCGGTAGTGTAGTGGTTAGCCCGCTGCGCTTCAAACCCGGCAACCCAAGTTCGAATCCGGCTCATGGCCAACACCAGTGTGACGATTATCTGAACCGGTCCTGGGCCTCCTCCCCCTAGGTCAACTTAGCCTCAAATGAGTAGCTGGTGTGATGTGTAAAAAACATTGTCACTAGGGAGACAAAGGCGGCCGGGCGTGGTGCTGGCCACCCGCCACCTCGTGTGCCGTACCGGCCTTCAGTAGGTGCCCCCTAACACTTGCCCCAACAGTCTGTTAAAGGCTATACGGGGAATATTCGTCTTTGTATGCTATATGTCTATACATGCCTGTGTGCACGAGTCTCAGTGTTGTTATATGTGGTTAACTTACGATACTTTTGACAGGCTTTCTTCAACGACAAGTATGAGAAGGAGCATCCAGAAGATTACGAGAAGCTGGAAAAGCTCAAAGATTTAATTGCTTGGCAGGTAGAGATATTTTTTCATGTCACTCATGGATTATTTTCAAAGTTTAAACTTCAACTTGGAAACTTCTGCTGCTGAGATCGAAAGAGCTATTATATGTCGGCCGCATAGCTCACTGTGTTCATCCACTGGAACAGACGTCTGCACCCAGCAAACCTTAGATCTAGAGTTTAATTTAAGGCCCAGATTGGAGCGATTTGAATGTATATCACTCCAGTGTGTGTGTGTTTTTATGCTTTCCAACTAACGTTAAAACTATTCATGCATTAGCTCTGTTCCGTCAATAACAGGGGCAACTATATTTGCGCAAATATTCGACATCAACCAAACTGAAGTATCATCTTGTTACGGCTATTAGTGATTTGCCCGATTGAAAACTCGTCGAATTAATCAAAAGGTTGCCCAAACTTTGGAGTTACAAACAAAAAATGGTATTTACTAATATTGTGACAGCTATCTGTCAGCTTCCATACCGATAATTCACTACTTCTAAAGACCAGCGCATATTGAGAGTGTTGCACGGTCCTCGCGTGCGCATTATTTTTCGCGAACCCTCTTTAAAAGGCACACCGATGTCCGAGGTTTACACGATGAAACTATCCGGAGATTCTCGCGACATGTGGCAGTGTGCAACGGTGAAGCGAAGCGATGATCTCGGCGACAGCAGAGCCCATGAAATAAACACTTCAACCTTCGTTTCAGACACCGATGCTGGCAGCTGCGGTGAAGATCCATGGCGAGAAGATCCCAGAAGACCTAAGGCCATTACACGAGCGCGTCGAGAAGTGTTTCCATCAGTTAAAGGCCAAGGTGGAAAAACAGTACGGAGTGCGCATTCTGGTAAGCTGCGTAATAGTGTTGCATTTACGGAATGTAAAATAGCCACGACCCTCACCAGGACAAGCGGATTGAGAAACGAACGAGCGAGACAAAATTAGCTCAACATCATTTCGCACATGGTGCCAGCTGCATTTCCACGTACAATGTTACGTTTGTTTCACCTGCCTCAGTAAATTAAAAAAACAACAACTATTAATCGTAGCAGGAAATCAAAACTAATGAATGGCTCACCGAGCTGTTAAGAGTTTGCAGTACTTTTTTTTTTCCACGTGAAATGTAATTCTCATCATCAGCCATTATCTATCCACTGTTTGATGGGGGCCTCCTCCACCCAGCTGTTATCCCAGATGGTGCCACACTGCCACAATCCATCTCCTCCACGTGAGCCGATCCCGTCGCTCCATCTCTGCAGTGGGCATCCGCTTGGGTGCATTTTCTCCTTTGGCTGCCATTCTGTCGGCAGTCTCCTCCATCGACCATCATCGCGTCCTGCCCAGGCCCACTTGCTGCTCCTTACAGTCAATATCATGTCTGTAATTTGCATTTGTTCCCTTACATGTCTTTCTGTCTTTCAGTGTAATTTCCGCTTGCATTTATCCAAGCTTTCTTTGCAACTGTTCACGTGTTTTAATCCACGTCAAAGCAGGCAATGTATGCAATAATGAGCACTTTATTATTCAGGCACACGGGTATGATACTTTTCAAGACCAAATTCAGTTTCCAAACGCTAATCCTGAAGCGTTACTACAATCACCAACTTTACAGAAATGCTGCCATGGTGTGATGGTTAGTACACTATAGACTTTCTATCCTTAGGTAACCATACTCTTTGGTTCTTTCGGTAAAGTCACATAGATAGAAAATTACTAATAGGTCACGACGTTTCGATCACAACACAAGTGACCGTCTTCAGGTGACCAATTCGAACTCGCAACAGTCGAAAAAATTGTCAAGTTGATCAAAATTCCCCGCCTCTGCCCACGCAGCGGTATAAATGGTATACCACAGCTAATCGATCAACAGGTTGTGTGTGGTGGGGTAAAATGTGGGTACTCTCATTTCTTCCAAGGGCATTTAGCCAGCGTGGCAGTGAGCCAAAATACCTTCCAGGAGGCCCTTCTGACTAGGAGTGGCATGAGCAAACAAATGAGAGGCTGCACCTGTGTTCTACTTGCATGAACAACTTCACTTGGCTTTGACATCGACAAGTGTCAGACACAACCTCCGACATGGCGTGGCGAAGACCTACATTTCCCAATCCATAGGAATGCAGCCCAAGAGGCTGAAATACAACTCCTTATTGGATTGCCGCTTGTCTGCACAAATGCTGCGGCTTGTCAATTCTTGAGATCACTCGGAGTGATCACGTGAAATTCAATAGAACTTAACACTTGCTGCAACCATAATCATCCTTTTGCATTTCTTTACAAACTTGTGTTGCGCCCAGGTACTTTCTTAGATTCCTGCTGCAGATGACCACACATTATCAGCAAATTTATATTACCTGTCAGTCAAATGTGTGTTGATGTCTTTAAGGAATATAGTGATGTGCTGTTTATTTATCTGCCATTGTATTTTGTTATTTATAACTATGATTATGGTAACACTTATTTCCCCAAGTTTATACTTCATTGAGTTCCAAAGTTGCAATTTGGGGGAGGGGGATGGCGACATTGCTTTGTGTCATCCCGATGAATTCATTTGCGGGTCCATTTATTCAAATTTGAAAAAAAATGTACCGTGACGCCAGCAGGCATGGCCTACTCTGAATAGCGTCGCACAGCAGACATCCCAGTGTGATGCCGACGACAAGTGTGATTTTACGCATTGATACATCCGCAACGGCGCTCGGATCGCAAACTCTGGCAAGAGGCGACGGCAAAACGCGGTACCGCTCGGTCCACGTCAATGTCCTGTAACCGCTGTCGTCGTCATCGTCGTCATCGTCAAAGATGTTTTGGGGGTGCAATGTTTTGATCTTGCTCATTGTGTGCCATTTTATTGAGGGACTAATGCTGCGTGGCGTTATCTTTGGTGTGGTCTGGGACGGTTTTTGTTGCTGTTTTGGCTGCCTTGTCCAACCTTTGATGAAATCTGATTTCTAAAATTTGTAATTTATATTTAGTCACTTGCTCACCTTTATTTTTGTACTGTTTGCCGTTGTAACTTGCTGACCCGTCCATACTGGACATCTGTGAAAATGAGCTCCATAGCTCATCGGGTTCCTCCAGTTGTAAATGACGATTCTGATTCCGGTTATGTTATTCTGCTTCTTTTCTGCCTTCCTGCGTTAGCGCACAACGGTGCAGCGACACCGATTTAAATAATAATAATTACAACCCCATAAATGCACGTAATGATGTCAAGGTCTTATCGTGGTCATCAATCGCCGCTCGCTGCTCCTGCTGCCGTTCCACAGCCCCTGCTGGAGGAGAAGAAGGGATCTCGGAGCCGCAGCTCTGTGGCCTTGTCCATGGGAATGGGGTCAAGCCCTTACCGCCCACTGTCTGTCATCTCCGTGTCATCGGCCTCGTCAGACACTCCCACGTCGTCACCCAAGCCTCGCGCAGAAACGTGAAGGCGCCCCCACCCCCCCCCCTTTCAGCGCACAATGAAAATTCATCTCCTGCCGAGTCCGTGTTAATGGTGTTTTTGTCGAGGAATTTAAATCAATCAGTGCGGTGACAGGGAAAATGTGACGTGCCCGTGCGGTGTTCCGATCGTCGTTATGGTTTGCAGGCGGGGGGGGGGGGTTTGGTTACGTAAATTTACGCGTTCGTTTAATTACAAATTAAATTATAAGCACAGTGTGCACATTTTATTCGCCTGCAGGAATTTTAATCAAGCGCACGTAAAATTAATGCGGAATTTTGATGATACAGTAGGTTGAGTTATTATGTGCAGTTATTTATTTTACCCATCATAAAGGTAATGTCCATTTAAATTTGTACTGCTGGCAAGTCAGCACAGTGTCATGGAAATGCTAAAAGTATCCATGTAGACATTATGGTAAATTCTGAAAGTTTATTAAAATATATACTTTTTTTTTTATAAATCATCCTTAATCATTGTCAGCTAGGCCATGTTTCTCTCGTGATCTATCCACCCACAGGACCGACCACACTCCCCAGAAGAAGTTTTCCTGGGCGTCGGCCGTCAAAGCACTGGAAAGAGCTCAGGAGGGCAATCAGTCCCGAGACGAGGATGAGAGGAGAGAGAAGAGGAGGGAAAAACGCAACAGCAAAAACCTGGAGGGCCAGGAGAAGGAGCGGGATGCACCGCTGGCAGAGCCAACGCCCCACTTCCTCACCGCCACCATTTGCCACCAGACCGTCCACAGCCAGGAGTATGGTGCCACGTGTGAACAGGTGCATACGTTTTGGAAAATAAAGAGCGTCACGTGAACGGCATTCGTTTTCAGGCAATTCGCTTGCACGCCTACGTACAGGAATATTCACGACACGCCAAAAATGTGCATTTCGACAGCCGGGTGACAGCGACGCGCCGGCATTCCCGGCCTCGCCGCCGCATGCGGGCGTAAGCGACCGTCGTTAAAGCCCTTTCCCGCGACGTGTGACCGATCTCCCGGCAGGCGTCGCCTCAGAAACCAGCGCGGCCGAGACTTCCGCCGAACACGCAGCGTCGCCAGTCCACGTCCGCGGTGCCGACAGTGCCCTCGTACCGCCCGGCGTCGTTGGCCCTCGCCTCCCAGACGCTGGCCACCATCGGCAGTGCGACTCGCACCTCGCACAGCTTGCTTGTTATTTTTTTGCTGTTTTTTTTTTGTTGCGTTGTGTTCGTGTTTCATCGACGTGCTGGGTAAAACGACAAAGCAGCGCATGGTCCCCCTACTGGCGGAAAATGTACTCGTCTCTCAAATGGAAAAAAACAGCTGATGTAAAAATGACTATTAATATGATTCATAGTCTATTTTTATTGTTACTAAAGGCAAGAAAGGTAAAGTTGGAACCCTATAATTGCTTGCCTCCAGTCGCTCCTGATAGACGGCACTAAGTGGCGAGATGTTTGCTCCCTCGCCTGGTATGCAGGAGGCCTTGGGTTCGATCTCCAACTTGACGCCTGCTGTATATTTGGAGTTTTTCATGTTCTCCCCGTGGTCGCGTCAGTTTTTCTCTGCGTCCTCCGGTTTTTCCCTCAATATTTAGAAACATGATAAGCCACTTTGTTGAGCTATCATTTGTTGCCAGGTTACTTCTGGAAAAGAGCTACATGGCTCAATCGGCCTTACCTGGTACAACTAGTTTAGTTTGGTTTATTCAGAGCTCCTTTAAATTGCATTTGGCCTATCTTGCGTGCCATCCCGGCATCTTTGGAGATGTGGGTATAGCTCCACTTTTCCCCGCCGCTGTTCCCGTTCAACCTGCTGGTGGGAGATTTAAGAAACTCGCACCACTGTTTCATCTGCCATGCCAGGAGATCGATCGAGTGACCTCTGGATTGCTCGTAGGTGTGGTAACGATTGCACCTTTGAAACATCCGTATTTTCTATACATAGTTATTATTATTTGTTAACCACGATGTAGAGCTATGGAATTGTTTCTAGGTTTTCTCACTATAATCACGTGACCTATTATTTGATACTTTTCTGAATTCCTTTTGCGTATTCTGCACGCATTGCTATGCAGCTCGTAGTCTTATGCAAAGGTTAAAAATCAGATGGAAGAGCACCACTTACATGGCTAATGTTAATTCAAAACACATGTCCCAGAGGCTTCACTTGTATGTCACACTGAAGGGTGCACAAGAGATATATTGCATGCACGTACGTGTATGTGCGCAGACACGTATACCCTGAATTACCTTTTGTTTTGGAATTGCCCTGGATATATTTTTGGTTGCAGCAGGTTTAGCGGTATATTATGACAACTTAACCTATTTAATAGTATAAAAACAAATATGACTTCTGGCTCAAATTAGCTTTGAGGCTTTACTCTTGTTTATAGCCCCTGAGCCTTTGGTGGAAATTCCACATTACTATGGCAGAGGTAAGCATAACCACAATACAACCACTGTTGATTTCACCACAGTTGTATTTTTTTATGACCCCAAAGGTGTTATGGGCTGAGTGAACCCCCAACTAGGATTTGAAAACTCGCAACCTTCAAATCGTTAGAGCCCGCAACTGCCACTGAACTACCCGGCGAGATGGAGAAAATTAACATTTGAATATTAATACATCTATCAAATGTGCCAAAATGAACAATACACAGCTACAACACTTGACAAGTGATGTCTTGGTCATTCCTGAGCCAGTAGTGGAAATTCCACATTCCCATGACGGGTTTCTTCCCCACAAAGTGGTGCCAATTGCATTGACCCCAGAGAGATGATGAGATGAGTCGCCCTCTAACCAGGATTTTAATCTGCAACCTTCCAATTGCGAGCCGCTTGCTCTACCGCTGAGCCATCTAGCCAATACAACCTATTTACTGTAAGCACATAACGCCTATATGTGTTTCTATTCATAATGTTATATTTGCTACGGCACAGTCTTTTGAAAACCACACTCAAAACGGCATTTAGAGACAAGTGTGAATGTCCTTGGGTTTAAAGTTTGGGCGACACGGCTCTGCAGGAAACACACAAGACAAACTACATCTGCATGAACATACATGGCCTGCTCTTATTTACTGAACAGTTGCCATGACCCGCCTGGCAGTGACTTTGTTGGTGTGATAATATCATGGCTACAAGGTCGAGTTTCCAAAGATGCATGTTGTAATGTCTAGTTGTGAAAATGTCCTGGATAATAATAAAAATGTACTGTGTAATGCATGCATATTTTGCGAATTAGGCGCATTGTTCGATCGAGAACTTGTAAGCGTGGAGCGAGAGCTTGAAGTCAGCCTGAACAATTGAGCACTGGGTGGCTATTTGAAGGTGGATCGTTACATTATGTGGCTATTCATCGGCACATTTCCGAGTACAAATCACGCTTTCTTTTTTTTAAGTTGCTCTAATATTTGCGGAACATTTTAAGTTCACCTTAATGTAAACATAAAAAAGCCCAATGTGTGTAAAATGTGACACGGCCCTCTTTTATGTTACGTAAGAAGGTCTTCCCATTGCTGTGTTCTCTTCTTTGCTCACCTGACCAAAAATAGGCGCTCCGGACCTCACGAACCTGATCCCTTCCAACGGAGCTGTAAATCAGCTGATGCCACCTCCACTGCCACAGAAGGGGTCTTTCATCAGCGACCCCAACCTTCTGGATGACACTAGTGGACGTACTCCTGCGTACAGCGGCTCTCAGAGTGGGGCAGCCGCAAAAGATGATGTAAGCCGTGAAATACGTTGGGTTTTTTTTTGGTCAGGGGTGTTTCATTATCTCAAGGAATAATTTTGCCGTTCCGTTCCTTTTTTTCGTCTACAAGAGATGTTTATTGTTTGTGATTTAATAACGCCAGTGATTTAATTGGCATGTAACGATCATGAAATAAAAATACAAATATTTAATTCATAATTTTTTAATTGTGAAAATAATCGATACCGAATGTCCTGGGCATATTAACTGCTGACCTCCTGACTCGTGCTTTGTTTTTTTCTTCTTCTTCTTCAGAAATTTGTCACGGATTTCAGTCAAAGCACCGTGAGGAAATCACCACCTCCGCCGCCTCCAAAAGCATCTTTGAAACATAAACCGCAGCAGTAGATACAAAGCCAAACTCTCTCCATGGGGAATGGAGCCAGAGCCGTTGTTATTTACCAACCGGATGGCCGCGTGGCCCTAATGGCCTTTTAGTGCAAACCTAAGATCAATTATCAACTCACGCCTGCAAGGTGTTTCATTGCAATTCGAAAGAAAGAAAACTATATCAAGATTACTTTTTACTTAGCTTTGCACCAGCGAGCCTAGCCTCATTTTTCGTTTAATTTTGCTCTAATAGGTTAAGGACCATTTGTTTTGCTTTCACTGCATTTGAAGGTGCTTATTTCTACACAAATTAAAACATATAAATGTGCGCTGCCTTAGCGCAAGCAAGCCTTTTTTGCGATCATTTGGCAATGTTACATATTTATGAGCTAGCTTTAATAGTGTCTTTAAAATAAACGCCTTTTACGTGTAAGGTCGAACGTATTTTACAGAAGGCATGATGAAATTAATACCAAACTATGGAAGTATTGCCTGCTGTAACGGTAGTAAGCTCATATTCTTGGTTATTTCGGTAAAGTCACGTAGAAGGGAAACAAAAGAATAAAAAATATATAAAACAATAAAATTCTCACGACATTTCGACTGCAACACAAGTAATCATCATCAGGTAGTAAGCTCGTGCTGGATCTATGAGAGACATTAATCTGGCCATGCTCAATGTTTTTATATGAACTTGTAAATTTGTGGTTTATGTTGGGATTCGTTTGTGCATTATGGTATCAGACCATAAATTAGCATTTTACGAGTTTCAAACAGCACAGCATTTACGCTCATGGTTTTTTTTCGTAGTGCTAAATTTATTATCGTGACAAAACTTTAGTCATTGATGGATAGAAACTCACTGGCATAAAAACTAACTGGAATGTCAGAGGCTTGTACATATGCATTTTTTAACAAAATGAGCATATTTTTACATTCAGAGCTCATATAAAATGTACTTTTTCCACTTACTGTGTGTGCTTTTACACTTACTATATACAGAAGGAAAAAACTGGAATTGCATTGCCAAAATTAATGATTTATTATTAAGTGATATTTTAAATGTTTGTAACAAATATATGATCATGTTACGCAGCCAGCTTAAAGATGAAAATAAAATTGCCCTTGAAATAAAATGTGATCACAAACATTTGTCAATTTTCGAGGAAGACGTTTAACCATTAATATTTGTTTACGAAAGGGTGGGTGGACTATTCAATAATGTCAGCTTTCATCAGGTGAAGTATAAACAAAAATACGCGAGAAAAACAAACAAACACGAAATATTTTATCTCGTGTAATTACAAGATTGATGCTTTTCATTTAACATTATTGGGCAATGGTATTCGGGACATACAGGATTTACATGCATTGAGCAACAATCATTATGGATCATCCAAAAACGACGACTAATTATTCTCAATTTCAAGAAGGTTATCGCTTCACCATCATGCATCACTCTGAAGTGATTATCTCATGTCCCTTGGCAACGCACTTTGCTACGCTGCACAGTTGCAAATTGGCAAATTTTTATGTTGCAGTTTTTCTAACACTATTCAGATTGAAACGCTGAGCATATGTTAGTGTTCCATCAATATGCAATACAACCACCCCCCCCCCCCCCCCCCCCCCCCGCATTAACGTATGTAGGAAATGAACTAAACAGCCCCTGGGTGAGGCCCACACTCAGAAGAAAATTGGAATTCTTGGAATAAATTGGCTTGCGACATTTCAATACTTTAACAGAGAAAGGCATATTCTAAATCCTCACTGACTTGGCATGCAAGGGAACCTTGGACTTGGCCGGGGTTAATTAATAATGAAAACTGGCAATCAATATATATTTTACAACTTCTCTCAAATCGTATGCAATTTATGCACTAGTGCCTTAAAATGTAATGCTCAATCTGACACGACAATGATGGTTGTGTTTAGTTGTGTCAACCTCCACAGGACCCGTGTGAAAACACGATAGTGTGATGCTGCACTGGAGACAATTTCAAATAAATAGCCACTTGGTAAGTGTTTTGTAACGTAAGCCTGCCGTGAGGGTATGTGGATTAGGCACGGAGGCCACTGAAGAGGTATCATTTACAAGGATATTTTTTGTGTGCTTTCCAACATGCCCCAGAGGATTAGCCTCCTACTTCCTCATCCTATTCCGGAATAAACTGCCCCCACACCCCGTTAAGTCTTGCTGTGCAATCGGTGGGGGGGGGGGGGTTGTTCCTCCTAAGTTCGTATTGTCCTAATGTATTCGTACATTTGTCTTTGCATCATGCAATTTGGAATTTCCACTAAAATCCGTTAGCAATTTTTTTTCCCGCTGCCGGACGAAGGTCTTTAATGACGTCACCATCTAGGTCGGCCATGTGTTGTCACAATCCATCTCGCTCTTACGCACGAACTGATCTAATCGCTCCATTTCCGTGTTGGGTCGGCCTCTCATGTACATAATTTCCTTTGGCTGTCATTGTATCACCAGTCTCGTCAATTGGCCGTAATCCCAACTCGCAATGTGTCCAGTCCAAGCCCACTCCCTGGCTCACTCTCATTGACAGTAAATTTGATCTCTGATTTGCAATTTGTTCTATGATCCGTGTATTGTTCTTTAGACATCTCACAGGATAATCATCTGCATGCAACTCTCCGTGCTTCCTGCTTTTGCTCAGTTGTGTTAGTTCCCATTGGTTTCAGACATCCTGGGCAACATAACCGAGCGAACGCCTGCTCTCTTATTGCCGAGAAACAATTCCAAAAAGTATATTCAAATCTCCCGAAACTCTTTTTTGGATCGAGAAACTTAACACCATAGGTAGGCCATATGTTTAAGGTGGCTTTCAGACCGCATCCATTATTTTCGTCTCCCCCTTCCTCTTTTCCGAACATAGATGGACTCGTCCATCTGAATAACTGCCAAATCGCTCTCCGTGGTGCTAACGTTAAAAAAACCGCTACTTTTTTCTAATTTTCTTGTTGTGGTTTTCACACCTAATGATGATTGCTTATGTTGCAGTCGAAACGTCGTGATAATTTTATTGTTTTATATTTTTATTATTTTATTGTTTCCCTTCTACGTGGTGACTTTACCGAAAGAACCAGGAATATAGGCCATATGCTGTCTTTCGTGTTCTTAAATTCACTTCTCCGAAAGCATCCCTCGTCTTGTCCAACCCCTCGTGACATTTTAAATTCCGAGATACGAGTCGAACAAAAGTCACGCGCAACAAGTTTGCTGAGCAAAATAAAACGACTGTTGGAGGGACGCAACTTGAAACGAGTTGTTTTCCTCCTAGCAGTTCACGAGACAATGACATTTAAGGAAACGCATCTTAGTGATGTGTAATTTTTGAACGAATACCATTTCCTAAATTGATGATGCATGCACCAAAATGTTTATTTAAAAATACTTTTTTTCAATTTGTATATGTTGCGCGTGACAGGTTTACATGACGCCTGGAGCTATTGGTGTGGCCGCTATATTCACAACATAAATATTTTTGCGATGATTTTGATATGTATCGCGACCCTGAATTGCAAACATTACATTTCCCATGGGAGTGAATCGTTGCACCCCTAATCGATACTACGGCACACGATTCAATTCAATAAATTGCCCAATCTCAGGTTTACCCGCAGGACATATTAAGCCAGCTTTGTTTTTTGTAATTCTGTACTTGCCAATGAAACAGTAGGTGCTGTGCGAATGGACTGGCACGGGAACAGGTTCACTGAATGTGTCGGTAAAGATGAATCCTAAATGATTGACAGCGGTTATAGATGATTGTTATACTTCAACTCTTTCGTCGAGTGGCATTAAATGCCTTGAATTTTTCGCATTGTACTCAAAATTACAGTGATCTCAACCGGCCAGGCATGCGGCTCAGCGGCATATAGAGAGCAAATTACAATCGGTAGGTTGCGAGTTTTATATCCTGTTTGGGTTTTGATTCACCAAATCTATTCAGCTAAACTCTTATACTATATATATTTTTTATCAGGTAAGGCCCACTGAGCCATATAGCTATTTTTTCAGAAGTGACCTGGCAATAAATGATAGCTAAACAAAGTGGCTTTGTGTTTCTAAATGTGGAGGGGAAAATCACAGGACTCGGGAGAAAAATCCACGCGACCACAAGGAGAACATACAAACTCCAAATATGCAGCAGGTGTCAGGCGAGATAGTTAACATCTCACCACTGTGGCGAAATGTTTATCTGGGGCCGATAAAACAAATACCACTTTATGGGGAAGCCAAGAGCGGCTGTCCTATGGATGGACTCACGCCCGCCATTGGAATGTGGAATTTCCATCACTGGCTCAGGGCTGTAAACGGGAGATGAGCAACGCCACAATGCTTACTGGAGCAAGCTACACTTTTTTTACATTTACGTGAGCTCTGTATTGTTCACTTTGGTCTCCGGTTAATTTCCATCTCTGCAGTTTTCCGTCGTGGCAGTGTGCCAGACTTGTCAGCCCACGCAAACTTATAATGTAGGAAATTCTACCTGCTCGGAGTAGGTTTTCATGAAGATGGCTTTGTGCTGTTTGGCCAATAAGCTGTGCCAACCGTTGACTTTAATAATCCAATGTGCGCACTGCTCCATTTTAGTTGTGCAACAAATAAGTTGACCCTGTTTGTGCTGTTTGCAGACACGCGTGTTGCCATTATACACAAGATTCCATTGACTGAATATATTGCTGTTCGTTAGATGTTGTCATTTACCACAGTTTACCTGGGAAAAAAATATAAATATAAACGTGTTTAGGTACACTGCATTATAAAGTTGTTGGTCATCGTGATAATCTATTCCACTCTTAAAATACTCGAGACGTATTTCTCCCATATGCTGCCGCGAGGGTCCTTTACCGAGTGCGGATCGATGACCGAAGAGTCGCCGTGAGTAATAATCACTTACGCCGGTTCGGGCAAACGCGTTCAGCACAGTATTTGTTCACGAAAGGCGTAACTGGCAGTAAGGTGTTGATGCAGAAATGGCCTTAGCAGAACGTGTGCTGTAAATGGGAGTGAGAGAAAAAAGTGAGAATTAAGAGACAGAGGTGTTCATTGGAAGTGGAGTAAAAGCCTCGTCTATTTTTAGTGGTGACTTTTTTTTGTACTTGCAAATTGATCTACGAGGTGTGATGCAGTAGTCACCTCGATAGTGGATGTAAAAGATATAACGAACAAACTCAACTTTCTTCTATTGAGAGCCCGTTATGTCGGTGCCAAAATCGGCAACTGATGGATACGATCATTAGACGCAAGTGGAACTTTGTACAGGTAAACTTTGTACAAAACTGCAGTTAACATCAAACTTTAAATTGCGCGTGACAAACAATTCGATTGTAAATAGGTGAACGATGCATATGCAAGGGGCTATGGCACAACTGCTCTTGTTTAATTGATGTGAACTCTGATATACCAATGTACAGTGTTATAATGATTTAGAAAAGGCACAGGGTCTTAAAAAAAATAAGGACTTTGACATTGCGCTGTTATGTTACTTTATTGCACACAGCGATCAATGTAGCGCAAGACAGATGGCAATAGACTGATGGCCAAACGGTTTAAAGTTTGTGCTTCATCTTGTACGTCGATAGCTGTATGTAAATGAGCCAACGGGGGTTTGGATTTTCGCTGCTGTGGAATAATTCCTGCAGTCACGAAAGATTCAAATCAAGTCATAATAAAAGGAATTCGGCAACAAAAATATTTGTAACCGAGGACCTTAATGTTTAAAAAAACGGCGATTTCTCGTTAACAAGGCAATGGCGTTATGATGTGCGGTGATTTTTTAAAAATGTATATTTGTTACAGTATATTCAAAACGTCGACCGCCTACGTTTATAGCGGTTGTACTGTATCGTTCTCCCATGTGTTTTCGGGTTTTGCTGCGCATTCGTCGGCATGATGTCCGACGTTTCACTCCCGGTGCCGGAAGCTTTTTCAGCAACCGAATACCAAATGCTGAGTTCGTGAAGGGGCTCGCGGAGCGAAATGTCAGACATCACGCTGAGCAAGCACGCGATGCGACCTGTGTCACGGGACAGGATCTGCCATGTGTAGCCGATTCAACTTTCACATTTATTCACTTCAACAAAATATCAAGGAAGTATAAATTTGTATCCTGTTTGTGAATTAGATCATCCAGACTCACGTGTACATTATTATCCATCCTTTCGACTTTCCAAATAACTCCGATTTGAAATCAGTGTGTAAATTGAAAATGTATTTTGTTTTGCTCATGCACTTCTTCTAAGTAATTTCTGTATTATAATTTTCACAGTTATAATTGTTTTGCATGCTAATACGTGACATGAACAACCCTGTGCCAATTCACTGCCGGATGTAGAGGCCACCGACATAGTGTCAGTCATGGAGGATGTTTTGACTATACTTCACCACGACTGGTCAGTGCAGGTTGGTGAAAAGGAGGGAATGGGTTCGGTTCAGACATTGCTTGCCAACGATGTTAGCCATGGCCAGGAATCAAACTCTTGTTCTACCTACACTCAACCATGCTATTTCTGAGTTAACATTTTCACCGCAATGCAATGTTCGAACTTCTGCACCACCACCTGCACCCCCTTCTTGCTCTCGTTTCTTTAAAATAACTCAAATAACAAGACACGGGAAATCAATATGTAACATACACGAGAATAAAAATAATTTCATAACTTAATGGTAGGCACATTCACAAGTGCAGCATTGTGATGCTGTAAAAGAAGCGTTGTGGTTCCTTGCCTACACAAACCGAGCACGACACTAATTGTACGTACCATGCATTTTGAAATAGAGCATTGATTATCAGGAGCTTAGTCATTCTTTTTTAATAATAGTAATAATAATGCAATTTATAATGCGCACAATATTTCACGGTCATAAATGACTGAGAGACTCTGAGGCTCGCAGCCAAGCTCAAGCGTCGCTTAAAAGTAATTGTAGATCAAAAGCTGCGAATATGCAGCGAGGGCGATGGCGTTCCAGATGTCGGTGGGGGAGGGGTGGGGGTGCTGCCTGTCAGGGATTGTCCTGCGTTCTCGTTGGCGAAGAGAGGTCAGTCCTAGTCGCGCTGCGGACAGCTCCATCGCGAGGAGCCGTAGTGCGGTGTGACAGGAGAGCGAAGGAAGATGCGAGGGACGGCCGAGAATAGAGGTGGGGTGGCGACCTTGCAGCTGACACCCCCACCCCCCTCCTGCTGGGCGATGAAGAATCCATTGGGAGGAGCGGAATGAGGGAGGTGAAGGATCTTGCTGAGAGTGGCATGCGCCGAGGATGACGTGAGCAGGATTGTGTTTTTCTTTCACAACCGTATGGGGAGTTTTCCCGAGGCTGCTTGATGGAGATCGAACAAGGACGGAATTGCAATAGGCGAGGCGAGACCAGACTGCTGCCGCGGCGAGGGTATTGATGCTCTCGGTGGTGATGAATGGACGTAAATGACTGAAGGCCCTTCGGTGGCAATTGCAAGATCTCATGATGTGGTTGGGTACGGTTGTTGAGGGGATCAGGTGGAGTCGAGTGAGCGGCGAAGGAACTTGATTTGGTTGGAAAATTGGACGGTGGAGCCAGCGATGAATATACAGGGACTCCTCTGCTTACCAATAAGTTAGGTTCCAGCGGTCTGTTCGGAAGTCGATTTGTCCGTAAGTCATGTCGATTCCAAACGTGTTGTACGGCATGTACACTAAACATGGGGAATATATATATAATCTTCTGTAGATGTAGATGCCACTGGTTCTTCATATTCTGCAGATGTATATGCCACTGGTTCTTCACGTTCTGCAGATGTAGATGCCACTGGTTCTTCACGTTCTGCAGATGTAGATGCCACTGGTTCTTCACGTTCTGCAGATGTAGATGCCACTGGTTCTTCACGTTCTGCAGATGTAGATGCCACTGGTTCTTCACGTTCTGCAGATGTAGATGCCACTGGTTCTTCACGTTCTGTAGATGTAGATACCACTGGTTCTTCACGTTCTGCAGATGTAGATGCCACTGGTTCTTCACGTTCTGCAGATGTAGATGCCACTGGTTCTTCACGTTCTGCAGATATGGATGCCACTGGTTCTTCACGTTCTGTAAATGTGGATGCCACTGGTTCTTCACGTTCTGCAGATGTAGATGCCACTGGTTCTTCACGTTCTGTAGATGTGGATGCCACTGGTTCTTCACGTTCTGCAGATGCCACCACCGCCATCTATTGCCCGGCGGTTAAACTTACGACTCTCGGTCCAAATAGCCAAACTGTATATACGGACCGGGTTTGTTCGCATCTCTGAAATTTCGTAAGTCGAATGTTCATAAGTAGAGGAGTGCCTACACGAGGTGGGAACGTGGACGAGGCGAGACATTGCCCGGTGCCGACCAGGATGGCCTCGTATTTGGAACACGTTCGTCTTCTGCCAGTCAACAGCCGCAGCGAAAAACACCTCGGCCATGCAAACTGCGTGGAAAGGCGTCAGAAATGCTTAAAGCAATCAAACTTGATTGCTTTAAGGATTTCCACACAGCTCTCTCTTTGACACGCTAATTTATCTGCTCCAGCAAACCCACCTCTCTCTCTCTGCCCCCCCCCCTCTCTATTTAAGGCCACGACACAGAGGCATTGGGTCTCTGTGTGTCTATGTTGTGTCTCTCTCTGTGTCTCTGTGTTGTCCCTCTCTGCTTGTGTGTCTGTCTGTGTGTCTCCGTGTCTGTGTTTTGTCTCTCTCTCAAATTTAGTTCTACCTGATGACGGTTGCTTGTGTCGCAATCGAAACGTCATATTCTATTATTCTATTTATTTTCTTTCTACGTGACTTTACCGAAAGAACCAAAGAGCTTAAAGCAAAGTTGTGGTGGGGGCTTTATCTGGCTTGTATCCAATAATATATCGAAACGGAGTAGAACGGTTGTCAGTAGTATTGTTACCAGTGTACGATATTTGGAGGAAATAAAAAAATGTCCTCGCTGGATTCATCCGAAGCACATTATTAATTCTTCAATTCTGTGCAAACAATTGTTAATGCTGGCGTCCTGGTGGATTTTGAAATTGAAAAAGCAATTATGTGATTTTATTACTTGGAAATTGTATTTAGCTGCTCAAGTAAGAAAAAGAACTGCCGAAGGTTGTGCACGCAAATGTAAAGCCAGCCGCTCGAGTGGAGGAAGTTGCATTTAATTTGTATACTGAATTTAAAACAGCTCTGTCATATTTATTTATTTTTATTTGGGGGGGGGGGGGGGGGTAGCTCCTAAACCTCTGGATGGATGAGGCTAAAATTGTCCTATTTGCTAGTGGAGCGCTAAAAGAGCAATTTTGAAAAAAAAAATTCTCAATCATATTTTTCATCGGGTGAAAAAAGAAAAGAATGCAAATCGTGTAGAAAATCGCCCAATTTTGGCAACTATGCATGTGCAGTATTGTGCTCCATCTAGTGGAGAACAGAAATTTTCGCTGATGAAAAGATACTTCTTTTTGTACTTGACAGCAATTCCAATGCGAATGGACAGCAATATAAACTTAGCTACATAGTCAAATTCAACCGAGTCAAATTCAAGAGCAATTTAGCTCCCGCATATTCTGATAATGGGAACATTACATTTGAATGAAGCTGGGATGCACACATGGGTATGACTAAAATATGAGACAAAATCATAATTGTTCGAATCAAATACAATTGTACTTCACCTATGCAATACACAAAAAAGCGCACATTCATCGATTACACTTCCTTAAAAGAAAAAAATCAACTATTATCGATTGCCCGAAATGTTGCTGATCATATATTTGTTTCAGTTAAATCAGCAGTATTGACAAATACATTGAGTTCCCCCCCTAATTATCAATTGTGCTTGCACACCCAATGCCTACGCAGCATCACCAAATAATATATGCAATATAGTCTACGTTG